TCTTGACAGGGAGAAGGGACCCAGCCAGCATGAGGACACAGATGCCCAGCAGACACAGCACTTTGGCGACCACGATCTTCATCGTGCTCCCTGGTGTACGCTCCCTGCCAAGGGCCCTGTGGATGGCAGCTGGTGGGCGTCCCTCCGGCTGCTGTTAGAGCGGGTACATCGGCAGGAGATGGCACAGACAGACCTCAAGGGAAAGCTGCTCCTGGGCTCAGTACCTGTGGACGGAAGTAAAACAAGAGAGATTTTCCTATCTAAGCACATACTGTGCAGAACAGCACCTTGCATCCCAAAGTGTGTGCCAGCCTCTGTATAGCAATCACCTTAACTCCGCAGAGGCAACGGGGGGAGACGACAGCGGCAGCATCTCACACACAACGGGGCAGAGGAACAGCAGAGAAGAGAAAATTTAACTGCAGCAACCAGTAACTTAAAAACCTTGTAAGAATTGTACTGGCCACACAGAACTGGCACAGCCTCACTTTTTAGAGGCTTCATTTGAAACACCTACAGAGTGACAGACACAACACAATTGATCTTCCAGTAAGATCCACCTGAGTCCAACCAAAAGATCAAGTCTTTGGTTCTTAACCATGAGAAAAGAATATGGACTTTAGCTGGTGGTATGTGACACCTAGAAATGAACTTAAAGATCTCCCGTCAACATTTGCACAGGCTTTTTTTTGTACTGCCCTTGAAACAAGACTATCAGATTCATTCCTGCGCGGTTTCCTGAACCACTGTCACCATCTCGCTAGGGTGGGTCGCAGCCTCTACCGTCAGTTGTTTGTACTGTCCCAGGAGTCAGTGGAAGTTTCGATTGCCAATAGATACGCACATCTCCAAAGGGAAACTCTACAGAGAAATTCACTACAAAGTTCTCTATTGCCCATAGGGTATAACAAAAGAGAAAGCAGAGGTTATTTCATACAAGAGAAAAACGCAAGATCTGAGTTGCCTAGGTCACAAATATTGACTTAATTTGAAACATAAAAGCGCTTCCATCCAGGTTACGCGCAGTGGCAGTGAGACTTGCTTTCCTAAAATCATTTAACAAAATAACAATGTTAAGTCTATTTATAAAAATATATAAACGTCAATAGGTCCCTCTACTCATTCTTGCAGCAGCACAGCCAGTGCCTCAGAGGATTTCACTTTCCACTTGCACCGAATTGACTTGTAAAGTCAAATCAACAGCACCTCAAGAAGGTTCTCTTGCAGGTCAGCCAGGTAAGGGCTGCCAGACAGCCCCGAGCACTGATGACACGCTGCAGCGTGTATCAGGGTAACGAATTCACACAGAACACTTCCAGCCATCCTGACACCCACACCCATGATGGACGAGGTAAATAATTGGATACCTGCTTGTTGGAGCGGCAAATTAATTTTAATACAAAAGATTCCTGAGGCTAAAGTCTCCCTTGAGGGCTGACAGCATTAATCACTATCACCATTTCTGCGCAGTGGGCTGCATAAATGGTGCTTTTATTAAAAGGAAGGTGGGAGACTGAATGACTCTGTACTGGGTAAGGGAGTTTAAAGCCTTTTTCCGAGTTTGCAGTTCAAGCAGGAGTGAACAGAGAGGTCATGGCGGTCAGGCCATCTGCGGCAGGTCTGGTTCTCAGCCGGGTATCTACGGGAAGTGATGTTCATCAGCAGAAAACCCTGCTCAGATGACACTGATTGACTCACTCCCTGGTGAATCCAGCAGACGAGCCAGGTCTGAACAAGTCCAGAGCCTGAAATCTCAGTGTACGTTGACAGGGCTTCCGCAGCAGGCAGCCTGTCACCGCGGCTGACGAGCAGGCTCCCTCTCCAGAGACGTTGACTCCAGGACTGCCAACGCTCGTCAGCGCTGTGCTGACACAGCTAACGAGTCACCCTGCCTTTGTAAAGCACGCACTGCTGTTTCAGCGTCAACAGAACGACAAGGATTTCACCTCGCACAGCGACGGCATGTTGTTATGCCAGGCTTCTCAAATGAACTCTCTCAGAAAACGACGTTAGCAACAACGCCTTGGGATCACAGATCACGACAGCTTGTGACTACACCTGCTGGGTGCGAAGGCGCCACCCACACCTCCTGCGTTAGGCAGCCAGACAGCTCCCAGGACAGAGCAGAGGAGGAAAAAAACCCTCCTTTTCCAGAATTCACACCTCCTCTGGAACACGCCTGGCTTCCACTACCAAATTCAGAAACCCCCAAACCTATTTTTTTTTTTCTTTCTCTTCTTTTTTTTTATGCAGCAGCCCCCAACAAAGCGTAAAGCCGCAAGCTGTTGGGGGCTGGTGGAGTAGCCGCCCTCCAGCGCCCCCAACCCAGGGCAGAAAGCAGCTTAGTGAAAAAACGAAGCGCTAAGTAAAGAAATACCTCGTGTTTCTCCTCGCCTGCTCTTTCCGACAGCCCAGCGCTCAGGAGCCAGCGCCGCCAACGTCCGGACTATTTCACCAGCATGAAAACTTCTGCAACAAAGAATTAACTCAGCACAGGTACCACTTGGCTTCGCTGCCCATAAGAAAACATTTAAACAATTAAAATAATATTATATAAAACAGACGGCCCTCTGTGGAAGAAAAAAAGGGGGGGAGGGTGTGACCCTTTAAATCTGTTTTTCTGTTAAAAAACCGCACTCACGATGTTCCCAACACACTGAAACCAGGCTGGATCCCCCTAGAGCCGCACTTATCCCCCCCAACATCCCCCAAAACACCCGAAGCCGCCTGACAGCGTCCTGGTCACCCTGGAGAAGGGGGTGCTGGGGAGGGGGGGACTCCTCCCAGGCCGCCAGAGGCCTCCCAGGGCCTAAACCTGCTTGAGCCCCCCAAAAAGGTGCAGAGATGGGGGGGACACACACTACAAGGGTCACTAGGAGAGTGGGGAGCGGGGTGTCCTTCACAGCGGGGACAGAGCCCG